TGAAGATTATGGGAGAGCTACCCACTACTTTAGTAGTAGAGAATGCTTCAGTTACACACTAGATCTCTGAAGCAGGTGTACCCCTGACAGCAGCTTTGCTGATTTGAGTGAGTCTGAAGAATGTGATAATGCTCCCTGATGCTTGCAATGCATCCAAGGAACTGTAGTCACTGTGAGGAGCACCATGTTGCTGTAAGAATGTAAAAATACTTAAAGGATATTAGCTGAAATGGGTATTTTTAACTGTACCTCTGAGTGTAAATGCTGGTTCCCGCTCATGTGATGAAACCTATCAAAAATAATTTTCTTTGTGTTCATCCACTTTGTTGAGCTGTCAGCTGTGGATCTGCAATCCTGTGCCCACAGAGCAGTCGTTTGTAGTCTCTCTATGATGTCTTTTGCACCAAACAGCACTAAAAATCATGACACGTTAGTGACTGATAGGTGTTTGTTCTGAGAAGGATACACAGTGACACTAAGAAATTATACTGGTGTCAGCAGTGATGAACTGGAAAGCATGTGCAGAGAAATCCCACAGCCTGAGACGTTGTTGGCACTGTCAGTGTAAAACGTTCGTACCTTGTGTCATACTTGGGCCCTCTGAGGTTGCACTTGGTGTCCAGAGTTCAGTATGTACAGAGAGAAATTATTTTCCCTTTAAGAGCAAAATTTGTAGGGTAAAACGTGGATGTAGCCTATTGATATTGTTCCTGCGCAAATGGAGATGGAGAGGCTGAGGTCTCTGGAGTAACGCTAACCGGAGAGCAGAACCTGATCCAGCGCCTGATCGTATTCCTGTTAAATTCACAGAGGGGAGAAGAATGTCGTTTGAGTGCTGTGTTGCAGCAGTGGTTTTGAGCTCTGTTCCCAATGAGAATAGCTAGACTATTACAAAATAAGGCAGAACTGTTCCTTTAAAGCTCTCTTTCAAATATAAAGAAGTAAGAAGTTCTCTTCTCAGGCTGGTGTTTGTAGCTGAAACAGGTTTTTGCTGGCAGTAGTACTGCAAGCTTCTCCCTTATCTCTTTCCAGTAAAACACCTGGCTTCTGCCAGTGCTTGATTTGCAAGATACATTGTTTGCATAATTAATTTCTCATGAAAAGTTAATCTCCTTCCACATTCTGTGCTGCTGGAGGTTGGTTCTTTTCTGTAAAGCAGCGCAAATCTGTCCTCCCTGTCCTAAGCACTGACCTGTGCTCTCTGCAGCTACGCGATGCCCACCAAGACCAACGAAGTGCTGTTCTTGGAAGAGAGAGGTTCAAAAATGCAGCTGGATGCTGTCCTTACTACCCATCAGAGGGTTGTCCAGGTATGAGCTGGTGTTCGCTGGTAGTGCTGCTACTCTTGTGCTGCAACTCCTACCACAGGCTCTCAAAAACCCCTTAACAATTGGAGTTAAGTCCCTCGAACAAATGAAAGGTGTAATTTGTGCGTAAATTGAAATGCAAAGAAGTCTAATTAGATTTCCCACTAAAGGTTACTCACAAGATAGAACCAGAGGAGGGGCTCCTGGATTCTGTATTTCAACTGGATGATTTATTATCTATTTTATGCACAATACTTGATACTAGGGGTAGAAAAGTCATGTTTAAGGCTGAATGATTGGACAAACTCAGTGAAATTTAAAAATACTATTAGTATCAGGGCCAGCTTCAAAAGTGTACAACTGATAGAGGTAAACAGCTATTTCTCCTACATGACTTTTTCCTGTTTCATAGTGTGTTCATGCTAAATCTCTGCTGAATTACATTTTAAACCTAGGGGTAGACTTTTTCCACAGGATAGACACGATGTGTGGTTAACTCTGGGGCCTGCAGGTTTGTGGTGGCACTTTTGTATTAAAGTCTCATCTAAATTAAGATCTTCATGCATGGTTGAGGCTCTTTACATGCAGGAGAGCACAGTGTTAATGGAGAAGAGCTGAAATAAGATCTTTGAGCTGTGCTGTATGCGAGAGGTGTGCGCACGAAGCAAAGCGCGCTTCTCTAATGAAGTGGTTGGTTGCCACAGGCTCATACTGAAATGGACTCTCATTCTGTGCCGTTAGTAGAATGAGTCCATTTTATCTGTGGTGTTCTGCTCCTGCAGCACTTTTATTTCTTCTTTCAGATCAGTGGTTTGAGTTCAACATTTGCTCCGATACTCCTGGAAATTATTCAGAGTAGTCAGCCTGAAGGGGTCCATCTCCTAATGAAAGAGGTACGTTTAATTTTACCAATGCCTTTGCATTTAGGAAGCAGATATGATGCATGACATGAATTCGCTTTGAAAATAGACCTGGTCCTGAGACTACTGCCTGCTCTAGACTTAGGGATACCCAGGATCTCCCAGAACCAGGCCCTCACTTGATCTATCAAAAACTATTACCTCTAATTCTTAATGAGTGTTGCATTTTGCATTTAGTCTCCTAGAATTAGTGCCACAGAAGATACCTTCCCAGCCAATCCTATAGATCTGGGGGGGATCACAGGTTGCAAGTTGCTGTCCTTTGCTGCCACAGATTCCCTGCGACTCGGAAGAGAACGCTTTCCTTCAGCGGTGCTTCACTGCCTCTTACCTGGGAATAGCCAGGAACTTCATGGAGCACTTGGTAGCAAAGCTGAGACTGGAACCCTAAATGCTGTGCCCTGTTTTGATGGAATTTGCTCTGGGAGGGGTTCAGTTTGTTTCCTGCAGAAAGGCCCAATGTCTTTCTCAGCACTGAGGATTTCAGGGCAGAACTTCACTCACTGGTGGACCAGGCATGAGGAGATATTTAAACTTCTATCACTTTACGTTCAAATAAAACAGTCTCAGGAGGGGCTCTTTATTCAGGGACTCAAAGGCTTTTGTAGCTGGAAGGGGAAGGCAGCACACTAAATTCAAACATGAAAACACAGTTGGCTTCTTAAGTGGCCTTTGAAGAATGTTTAACTGTCTCCAGCTCTGCAAAATGAGGAGGAATATGGGAGAAGGTCTCTGGAGTCCAGTAATCTTCTCTGCTTTGGTCACAGTCCCATCTCTGCCTTAGGGCTGCCGTTTCTTTTTTATTATTATTATTTTAATTTTGGCTGATGGCTTTATCTCTGGAGGGAGAACTGTGACATTGCGCCATGTGCAAAGTCTCTGCAGTCCGATGCAGAAAGCCCAGGGGAGAGACCCAAGCTGGCTTCATACGACTGGCAGCACACAAGAGAGAGTAAAGCTTTGAGAGGCATCTTGTGAAGTTCTGCAGGAGGCAGCTGGTCTCCTTAAGAAAGCAGATGTGATGGAGAATAGGCAGTGACAGAGTTGGGGGCATCCAGTTGACTTCCTGAGCACAAAGCCACTGCTCACTCTTCCAAAAGCAGTTAGGTGACAAGGAGCCTGTAAGGCCAAATTTTAGAGCCCGTATGGTGACCAAGCACATCCATGGCTGCCACACTCACTGTCAGAGGCTTTTTGCCCTTACCTGCAGCAGCTGCTCCTGTTGGAGGCTGGATGTAGGAGAGGAGGATGGGGCTCTGCCACCAGCTTCTTGGTTCAGCTGTCTGTGAGATCCTAGCCCACAGCGACTTTCCACCCACTCCCTGGGTACCTTGATGATTCTCCTTGAGAGGGGGTGTGTCTTCCTCTTGATTTCAAAATGTACTAGAGGTGATCCTGATTTCTGTGGTTATTTTTTTCCCCTCCACAGCACACGGAAGTTGACTTCAAGAGCCGACTAAAGTCTCGACCAGAACTTGAAGAGCTGCTAGCACAGATGAGTTGAGAGAAGGGAGAACGCTCCATCCATTTCCGAGCCATCTCTGGGAAAGTGAGGCAGCTTCCCCATGGCTGCTTGAGCCTCCAGAAGGCGACTTCATGAGCACTGTATTGATAATTTGGTGAACTGGAAGAAAATTCCACTGTTGTCAAGCAGCTTGACTTAATAAAGGCAAAAACCTGTGTTTACATCTGACTGTAGTCTTGAAGAAAGGAGGACCACAGTGAAATGTGGTTTTACCTTTTTCAGTTCCTCTTTCTTTTTTTTTTTCCTGCCTGTTTACCTTCTGATATGTGAGAATCTCTGCAAGGTAACGGTGCTGGACTGCAACTCTCCCGGCTGTTGCTGGTTCGGAGGTGACTGTCCCGCTCCTTTCTTCAGCTGAAGGCTGGAGCAATGTGTTATTTTCATAGAGCTGCTTAAATCGGAGCTTTGCCAACACAGGGCCCAAACCTGGGCCCTTCAGGCACTGCTTGTGGTCCTGTGCTGGGTGTGATTTTTGGCCAGCAGTGCCAAAACCCAGCCCCTTGGCAACCCCTGCACCCACCTCCCTGGGCCACAGCCTGGAAATTTTCTGGCAAAAGCCACGTGTGCCTTTTATTTTCTTTCTCCAAGCTTGTTTGCTAGGAGGTGGCATCAGAGGAGCATCCCTCACTATGAATACCCTTCCCCCCCATCCCTTATACTTCTGGGGCTTCCCAGAAGAAAAATCCCCCCAAAATCCTGTCCCATGAGGTTATTACTGCTGGGAAAAGCTCTGGGATGGCACAGGGAAGGACACGGAGTGGAAATCCACGGTACGGCTTTCGCACCCAGCCTTGGGGCTGTGAATGCTCCCAAGTTTGGGACATTTTGGGCTGGAAATTCCCTTCTCACCCCACAGCTGCCCCCTCCCAAGCTCCTGGTTATTGCTGGCGGTGCAGACAGAGATGGACACTTCAGCCAGGACACTGAGTGCTGCCACATTTAATTTCCCAACAATGTAGCATGGATTTACTTGCTTGAATAAAAAATAACCCAAGTGGCGCAGCTGCCCCATTCCTGGTGTGCCAGGAGCAGGGGTCCCCAGTTGATTTCAGTCCCCAGCGGGCGAGGATTGGGCTTGGTGTGAGCTGGACGCCTGGTGCGGCTCCTTGGCGCGTTGCTGCCGGGCCATGCACTCGCCAAAAGCCCGCCAACAATGTAGCATGGATTTACTTGCTTGAATAAAAAATAACCCAAGTGGCGCAGCTGCCCCATTCCTGGTGTGCCAGGAGCAGGGGTCCCCAGTTGATTTCAGTCCCCAGCGGGCGAGGATTGGGCTTGGTGTGAGCTGGACGCCTGGTGCGGCTCCTTGGCGCGTTGCTGCCGGGCCATGCACTCGCCAAAAGCCCGGACCTGGCTGCGCCGTCATGCACTCCTGCAGCTCCCGGTGCTGAGCCATGCAGCCCGTGCGTGCGATCATGGCATCCAGCGGGTCTTCGGCCTCCTCATCCTCATCTTTCTCTGGCGACAGATGGCTCCTGGCATGCCCACGCCTTGCCATCACTGAGCTGGACCAGAGTGGAGCGGCTTTCCTGTCGAGAGCTCTGCTTGGGTCACTGCCCCCTTTTTTGGTGGCACCCCCCTCTGCAACCCCTTCCGCACCCTTATGAGTGCCCCCATACGCTCCATGCACCCTCAGGAGGAGCTCAGCACCCTCCCTGCAGCTCCCACACCTCCATGGGTGCCCAGCACCCCGTGTACCTTATACCCACCCATGGGTGCCCAGCACCCACCCCACGCACCTTTTGCCTACCCACGGGTTCCCAGCACGCTCCCATGCACTTTAACCCCACCCATGGGTGCCCAGCACCCTCCCCATCCCATAGCTGTCCCTCCCTTCCACCCCTCCATGGGTGCCCAGCACCCCTCATGGGTGCTCAGAGCACCTCTCCCATGCACTTTACCCCCACCCATGGGTGCC